TGTGAAGCAGTTGCTAGTTAGGTAGGCACTTCAGTTCTTTATACTGCCATCAGCTCGTGTCACTTACGGCTATTCTTTGTTAACAAAGCTCTGTACATATTCAATTTTTATACTGCTACGCAGAAACGGTTGTTTCTTCAGTATGACATCGTCAAAAAAAGATAGCTAATTTGATGACTTGGTGTAACAGCAGAAGGTTGAACTTTTATGTTAGTTTTGTCATGTGGGGTCAATAAAAATTTTATTAGTATTTTAGAAGTATTTTGCAATAATTACAAGCAAAGAAGTGTTTTCAATGTCTTTTAAGATTTAGTTTTTATCGTTTACCTGCTAATGTTATAACTTGCACTTATATGCTAAGTATATTGGAGAGCGGTTTTGTAGTCGGCTCAGTGTTTGTTCTAATTTAGACATGACTGGTAAATTTGCAAAGCGTCCTTACGCTTCGTTTGTATTCTTATTGATTTTATTAACAAGGTAGTCCTTTTTATTAGCAATGCTGTGGCTTTCGAGTCAGAGCTTCGAAGAATTTTCAAAGTTTTTAACGAGTTTTAGGAAATTGGTTTTTGATGAGCTAAGATTGTTTGGTGTAATTCTGTTTACATCGTATTCACAAAAGCTGACGACTAGTTTTTTGCACAACAATTTCTTTCTTTTTCAAACAAAACAAAATCTTTTACTTAACATTCTTATTATTGCTTTTTCGGTTTTTTTTATAATTGTTTTTTTTTTAAATTTTTTAACGCTACAAATAAATTGTGGATGTGTCCTTTTTTGATAAAAAGTTCTGTTGTTAGATTGTTTCTTCTTTTGAGTGGCCTCATGGTTGGTATTATTTTCATTTCTGGTCTTCAACTCATTACTTGAACTTTTTTTTACATTTTAATTTTTTTCTATCTTTGATTCCTTACGGATGGCAAAAAAGAACTGGCAAGATGGGCTTTAGAAAAGTAGTTCACTGGAGTTTAGGTGGTCGTACAATTCTGAAAAATTTTTCAAAACATTTTTCAGGAAAAAAAATTTTTTTGTTTGTAATTATAGGTTCGACCCACTCCACAAGCCAATTCACTGCGCAGCAACGGGTATTTAGTGAGTGCAACTACACCGCAGAATCGTTCTCCTCGCTCAATGACCGCTGCGTCCGGCAGTGTTGGTATGTTTGTCCATTTAAAAATAAAGATAAAAACGTTCTCTTCATTAAATCAAACAAAATTAAAGAGGACGAGAAGAGAGGATTGAAATAGATGAATAAATGGAGACCAGGCGGGATATTTTACTAATTGTTAAGAAGAGCAGTACTAGATTTGGTGGTGCTGGTGATAATAATAGTGATTTCAGCACTGTTGACCACATATTTGCGTTCTATTTGTCTTGTTTACTTTTATTACTGTCTGTTATTTAAATAGATTGTGGCATATGAGACTTGAGAGGGAGAGATATCAGATACTTTCATTACTTTCAGCGTCTACATCGCATGCACTGTGCTCGCAGGTGTCATCATCGAGCGTTAACTCACAACGTCCATCTACCGGCCATGCTAATAATCACAGCAGCGGTCGAAGTTCAGATTATGCTCAGCTTGCTGACTGTGTTGATGCGGCCAATCACAGTGGCTGTATGTTTATACAAACCTTTTCTTTCAATCTGAATTGTTTTTTCATTATTATTTGGTTAAATTTCGTTTTTTCTGTGTAGGAGCAATTAAATACGACTTTGATCATTGTTCTCTCTTTGGAAGGTTCTTTGCCAAAATACACACGCATTGCTTCTTTTCTTTCACATCTACGTTAACCTTGTGGATTTTTTTGTCTTATTTCTTCCTCTTAGAAAAATCCGGAATGCTTTATTTATTTGGATAACACTCTAAAACAATGGTGCTTTTATTTTTTAGCTATACGGTCAATAATGTAAAGCACGAAATTTTTTTTCAAGCTTTACACTATTTAAGGTTCACAAAACGTCAAAGAAGATGACACACTTAGTGTAGCCGGCACTGTCTTTAACGAACCCTGGGACTCAAACGTTTGGGAAAATCTGCTAGATTTGGCTCAGTATGGTGACGAGAAACCTGGTGGGATGAAGCATGTCGATTCAGCGATGAATTCATGCATTGGTACTTTTTTATGCTCTTTTCGGTGACTAGGGAGACATTTTTGATAAGTCCTGATTAGTATTCTTTAATTTGCCTATAGAAGAACCGATAGCTGAAGAAGACTCAGAAGATGAAATTGCTTGCTCACTAGAAGCGAGTTCAGATGGAGAGGACGAACAGAGTATCCATGTTGTGCAGGAGAAAGTATGTACTGGAGGTAAATAAATTTCGTGTTGTTTGAAAAAAGTTTGGATTTATTTTGGAGGGCTGAAGTATTTATTGAGTGTCTGGAACTTATTACTATTTTTCTGCTTTTATAGACGTCGAGGAATATGGTACAATACTGCGAAAACGAGACGCTGCATATGGTGCTAACGAGATGGATAAAAGGCGTGGGATTGTTGAAACTGAGACACATGGGAAATCCACAGATGCATCAAATAACACGATTTTTTCCGGATCTAATAGGTATTTCTAAGTGTTTTTGTTCTTTCAAGACGATTTTTGCGCGTTTAATAGAATCTAGTGGCGTAAGAGAACAGCAGGTTTTTTTTCAGCAAAATTAATACGCTAGCTAGTCGAAAGGAAGTATCTAATTCATTAGTGAATGTCTCTGACGGCACAGCAAGCCTTGGAAGTCGCAAAACCTTAAACTCGCATTCGGTACGGAGAAGTTATTTTATTGAAAAATTTTTAGTGCGTATTCAATTTTTCCTTTTACAGTTTATGGAGGAGAACATTCCTGTTTATTTTACCATTAACGTTTCAGGGTCTTATTGCTTTTTAGTTACCAGATCCGTAGTATGCAGATGACAAGGGGTTTTATGTTATATAATTGTCATAATTTAATTTTGTCTTGTAGTTGCCTCGTGTTTTGCCGCGGTATGCCAAAATCGATGACGCAATTTTGGAATCGCTGGACGATATATCAACAAGTATTCGTGCTCTCTCTCCGATTATATCTCCTCCAAGATTGCGCACTAGTTTAAATTCTGACCCCAGTACCAAAATCCAGGAGTACGTTGAAAGGTCAGTTTTTGAAATTTCTTGTATGCTACACTCCTGCAAAAGCCCCAGAAGTTTTTTAAAACAACTTGGTGCTATATTCTTACTGTGTTAAGCTACACTGCTATATCTTTCGTCCAGCTGTATATTTTAGATTATCTCGTGACGAGAATACGGTATTTGGAGCCACTTTAAAGCGATTTACTGAATGTACAGTTGAAGGAGAGGAAAGCGACCCTCAAGTGGGTTTACATACAAAACGGGTTTCAAAATTTTAAAAATTGACCTTTATTGATAAGAAAAATTTGGTAATCACGATTAACGGAATCATTTTTTTTCCTTCAGCCTTCATTGTTCTTGTGGTCCTGTTTTAATTGGTTCGTTCACTAGGTTTTGGTTCTAGGTTGTTATTCGTAATGTGCGACAGTTTTTGAACGGAATGAAGAACTACCTTGTAAAGCATGGCGAAGGGGAACTGCATGACATAATTGAGAAGGAACGTTCGCGGTTAAATGCGAACGAGTTCTTGAACATTGATGCCATCTTAGAAGCTGTACTTCACAAAATCGTACTCAGTAAGTCAGAAGAACATTGGTAGCTCTCCTCTTATACAAGTAAAATGAAGCATTGAAGAAAGAAACCTTTGTTTCTTATATGGTTTAAAAGTTTTTTAGGTCCTGTAAAGCCTCATCTTTATCATCTTATGGTGAGAGAACATTCCAAAAATGGTTGGTTACAATCTTTGTCTGAAAATCTTACTTATGTGCGAACGTTATCGCCAGAGCAGCTTGGATTTGGAATTCACTGCAAGGTATCTTCAGTTTTAATAGACTTACAGTTCAATTAATTGTCAGGTCACTGTATTTGAGCATTATGTTTGTCTTTTTTCCTTTGACTTTTTTGTTTTAGTTCACTCCTTTGTCTCCCCAAAAGATGGAAGCTATCAAAATCTGCTTGAGGAAGATGCAGCATCATTATTCGCCTTTGAAGAAACTTGAAAATTTGTTGCGGGTCATTTTTATGGCTGTTGGTCAGCATCGCTTGTGTAACGAAAGCCCGACTTTGGACTCGGAAAATTTTGATCCGGTGACTGGGGATGCGGCCAAAACAAGAAATTTGCCTCCTGCAGACGGTGAATCCTCCACTCATTATTTCACAGTTTATAAGAAAATTGTGCGTGGGATCATTTCATTTTCTTTTCTTCCTTCAGAATTGGTTCGTTGGCTGGTTTATCTACTTGCGCGTACTTCGACTGTAGGTTGTGAGGTGGAGGCGTGGTATATGTGGGAGTTGCTTCCGAAACAGTTACTCACAACGGGGGACACGAGTTATTATTTGATTGCGCTTTTCTCGGCTGTTGATGTTCTGAAGAATACAGAGAGTATAAGAAGACTGGGTTATGTGGAAGATCCATATACAGTGGTAAGTTATAAGTGAACTGCTGAAGGGATCTGCTGTTAGTTCAGCAGTTTTCATTTTAGCGTGTAGTCACAGGGTAGTTTTTCAAACTGTAGTTGTTTAAGGGTGACTCCTGTTCGTCTTCTGCTGGTAGTACTAGTCCTATTTTATCAACGTCAGATGCGTTCGTACGGGTTGCTATTCCTGATGAAATTGATGGTTCTATTCGCTACCATACGTTCCCTGGTGTTCCACAAATGACTGCAGGAAAACTTTGTCGGGTTATAGCACACCAGTTTGGCATAACAAATCCGGAAGATCATGGCCTGTAAGTATTGTTCTTCGCGAATAACGCTGGAAAACACTTATCAGTGACTGCACTAGCAAAAACTTCTTTTCAAAGAGTATTTTTCTGCATGGAACGTGTTACTGCAATTCGGTGTACTATACTTTTTAGGTACCTTTTGGTGGATGGCTTCGAAACCTGCCTTCTGAGCAATGAATGCCCAGATTTAATTAGGCATCAGTTGAGAAATGCTCGAAAAGAACATTTGTTTGCATATAAAAGACATGAAGCTAAGATCGCTTGGCCGAAGGTGGCAATGACTTCAACTTTACGTTAGTGTATATTTGAATGTTTAAAATTGTATAGTAGGGTGTGATAGTTATTTGTGTCATCTAGTTTTTGGTTTTACTTATAATGATTAAAAACTAAAAGATTTTTTACAAGTGTCTCTTCTTTTTTTGCTGTTTCTATCCCTCGGCGCTTTTTACACATAGTTTATCAAAGTGATTCGGTAATGTCTTTACCATCTGATATCAGACTTGTTGGTCATTCTGTGTGACATACCCCTTGATTCTGAAGTTGATTTATGTAAAGGGCGGGTTGTACTATAATTTTCGTTCCACAGAAATTTTCAAGAATGGGAGATTTCTCGCGCAAATGACCTTTGTTGTTTTGTAGTTCAATAAAGTTTTGTTGTGATTTTTTTTTCTGATTTTTACCATATTTGTTTTATGGTTGCTGTATGTAATTAACTGTGGTTTCTCTAATTCTCCATAATACCGAAGGTGACTGAAAGTTATGCTTAATCGTTTGCTAACGTTGAATTTTTTCGTATATTCATTCCTTTTAGAGTGTCTGAAACCTTATTTTTGTTTAGTTTTCACTGAACTTTTTGCAGCTGAGAGGTTATGTCGATAGCTCCATAAACTATCTCTAAATCTTCCAAAGTTGAATATAATTGACGTTGGCAAAATAAAGTTTACACTAGAATAAAGTAAAGTTTTAAAGCCGGTCCCATTTTTATCCGAATGAGTGATTTACTGAGCATAAAATAATCACTGATTTGCCCTATTTGAAGTTTGATTTTGAAAGGTCAGGTCACGTCTATGGCGGATTTGTGTTTCGAGAAATAGGTGTTCAAAAAAACTAGTACAACCGGCCCAGCGGCCGGCGCCGTCTCTGAAATAGCTGAGCATCTTGCTAATATGAAAAGTTGTAAGGATTCACGTCGTTCTAATCAAATTAGAGAGGGTCTTTTTTTTTTTCTTGTTTGTGAGGAGAATCTGGGGAAAGTCGGATTTTCGAAGTTTTAAAGTACAGGGATAGACCCTGCTAGAGTTCACTTCACTTCAAATTTAACGTTCACGGTTGGACTTCCGATACTTTTTTGAAGTGCCCAAAGACAGAAGTGTAACTGGAAAAGTATTTTCATCGCCAAGCCGCAATCTGTAAAAGGTAAAGAGATTTTCTAGAATCTATAAACAATTAGGCTCTCTCTGGGAATTTTAATTTTTTTATGACAGTGAAGTTCTAAGTTCTTCATGGATGCACAGCCGTGCATCCAGGAGGAGTGTTGACTGAATATTTTCAAACAGATTGGGAAATAAAGCGTACAAATAGATTTCGTAATGAAGTAATTATGCTATTGGGGAGCGCTTCGTGTAAAACTTTGTAATTAAGAAGGTAAAGGAACTGCTAAAGCTAGATTTTAACTTCTTTTGAGGCTATAATTTAAGTCTATTGCAGCGCAGTTAAATGGAATTATCCGTTTTACTAAAAACGGTTCTAGTCAAATTTGGTGAGGTGATTAGTTGATCTTCCAGTTTGGAACATAACGGCACTTGAGTTTTGGTTGGGAAATATACTTCGAGCTGGAAACTTTGGCAGAATCATTTTACTGCATTGTAGCATCTTCAACTTCTGTTTTGCAGATAGCCAACTCTAAAACTTTTCTTACTTCTCACAGTAGGAAGTTTTATGCAGAAATTTTAAAAGTTCTTCTATGGCTTATTTTCTGAGTTTCACTTTCCTTAAGTCTTAGTTTTTTAAACTTTGGGCACTTTTCAATCGGGAGACAAATGCATCCATAAGGGTTGTGAACCAACTAAAAGATAGTTTTTTGTGAACAAATACAGTTTTTCAAAGAATTAGCTGTTCAAAAGTCGAGAAAATTTATTATAGGATGTAGGCTTGAGAAAAGGTTTGAATGTTACAAGAGTTCTGCCTTGTCAAACGTCTGTAACTTATACTTTCTTATTAATTAACTCAACCTTGGGTTAACTATCATACTGCAGTACCTAATAGGTACACTGTGCTACTGTTTGAGTGAGCAGCGAGATTAACGCTGAACGGTTGTAAAAACTGTTTGTTTTCTACCCTTATTCGGTCATTACTTTCTTCTTGCAAAAATTTCTTACGGGCAGCATATTCTTTTTAAAACAAAATATGACAAAAATCAAGTGAATTTTTTTTTGATCAGAGAAACAATAACCGCCGCACAAATTTGTGACAAGGGCTACAGGCTAAGCTAATTAATGGTTCAAAATCTGTGGTCAGCTTGAATTATTAAAGGTTCCTTCCGGTAACTTGAGGTTTCAGGGTGAAAAAAATTCTAATAATAGCGGTTTTGAAAATGTTCTGCTTGAAGGGTATTCGTACAACTCCCGTAGTGAATGGAACTTTAATTTGCTATAATATTGAGCATATCCAATAAGACATACAGACAACTTTTTAGGCCAACAGCAAGAAAGAATTCTAAACTATGAGTGCCCGTAAGTGTGAGAAAATGAAAGCAGTAAACCGTTGGACACTAACTGAAGATACCTTTTAGTTTTGCTTTCAACCACAGTTTCAGTCACGTTTGTCATCGACAGTTCACAACGCGTTGAAGAGACTGTAGGATAAGAAGTCAATTTTTCTTCAGTACCAATCACGCAGCCTTCATGAGAAAATGCTTACATAAAATCAATCTATGAATTTCTAGCTGAGCTACAGGACTTCAAATTACTGCAGACATTTACGTTTACAAGCGGACAAAATGATGCAACAAAAAAAATTACGCAGATAAGGCGCATTTTAAATGTTAACTGAAGGCAGCTAAATTGGACGGTATTTTGCGCTGTTAATGCGAGCTTTTTATAAGCTTCATAAATTGTTCTAATTTTAACGAGCTAGCGGATAATTCAAAACAAAATTTTCAGACAGTTACAATACTGTGTCAAATGACAGACTTATCAGTCAAAACAAGCAATATTAATGAGCAACTGCTGTGTTTGTATATATTAGTATTATAGAATCAGTGCTTTTAAAAAATACTACGTAACTGATCTCCTATTAGTACTCCACATTTGAAGAACTCCACTGACAGTCTGTTTTACAGTAGAAATGAGTGGAAACGAATTTGAAATGAAAATAATGGTATTGAAAAAAGATGTAAACAAAGTTGTATCGAGAAATCATACTTTGATTGAAAACTGTCGTATTTATCTGGTTTTCTCGTTCTGAGCCTCGAAACAGCTGAACGACGCAATAAAGATAGACGTATAAGAAGTCACCAGTACAGTGAGTTTGGACAGTCTAACATAAAAATTGAGGTTTATCTCATTGCTCTGATCATCGTATCATTCTTCTACTTTTTCCAATGCAGGCGCTACGAATCGTACAGAGTTAGAAATCTGTCAGTAAAATAAGACAGTGAAACTTAAGCGGTTCTTTCAAAGGCTGCCCCATTTGGAATTCTCAAAGTGTTATCTGTCTGGCGACTTCTTGTCAGTTCACTCGTCACTCAGAATCAACGAAGTTGTTGTCGGCAACTGCACTAGAAGGTTCCCAAACCTGTTGTCTCACTCTCAGGCTTTACATAGAAGGGCGTTCTGTAAAGCATTTCCGTTTTAATTTTTTTATCATGTGCTGCCGTTTCTTTTCAATATGCTACTGCTCTTGCTGCAGCCGCCTCGTTGCTGCTGTCGCTCTGTTTCTTGTTGCTTTAATTAGGTTGTTTCTGATTCTGCTGCTTTAAGGCTACCTAATACATGAGCGACAAACTGTCCGAACGATTTTGCGCGAGAATTGGGAGAAATCTTTTTGAACTGAAGTTTAGAATGCAGTTGGAATGGGCGAAAACATTTGGTATGGAGATATCCTAAGCTGGCTGTTCAAAGGCTTGACTCTATATTTATAAATAAATTGATAGCTAGGGACCTTTTCTCGTCCTTGTAAACCACTCTATCTTCCTTTATTGTTATGCTGCCACGCGGGACTTGAGTGTGTTAGAAGCTTTATTTCAGGAAGCAGGTACAATAGAACGAAACCTCAAACTTGGGTAATTGAACCTTTTTTAGAATAGAGATCATAAAACAAAGTATGAAGTTAAAATGTCATATGCAAAACACACGATAAAATCATAAACCAAGGCGGACAAATTAGTATAAAAGCTTAATATATTAAAACATAAAGATGAGAACAGAATAAAAACAGAGGTAAGTCTTCATTCCTCCTTCATCATGTTAAATAGTTATCTGGTTCTGGGCGGGGGTTGAAATCCCGCTTAGTGCGAACCCCGCCAGTTCAGGTTCTGCCGTAGCTTTATTGTTGGGATTATGCTCTGCTTCCCCGCAGGAACGTCTGCTTGGCTTTGCATTCTTTCCGTATCCCCAGCTGGGGGAGCTTGTCCTGAAATTATCCTCCTGCCCCTCCGGCTTGGGAGTGTTCGCTTGACGTGACACTCTCACTTCTCTTGATTCTAATTCATGCTCCATATCGCGGAGGTAAAGCTTCATATATTGTAGAAAGACTCGTTGTCCTCGGATTTCATCTATCTGGAGCTGACTTTTTTGATCTTCATCTACGTCCCGAGGGAGACGGAGTCCGCGTTTGTAAGTTGCGAGTAAGAGTTGGAACTGTCGTCTGAGGGTCTGTATCATTCGGGGCAGTGGTGGTAGACGTTGTTCTTCAAATGGCCGCTGGAATCCGCCAAAATCAGACGCTGAACTTTCATTCATGTTATTCATTTTTTATTCATGTTTATTCATGTTCATATTTTATTCATGAATACCCAGCAGAGTCAGCTTTATTTATATCTATAGAAATCATGCGGGGTTTTAGTTATGGTCAATCTGGTGGGAATTTATCCACTGCTATGCTCTCTTAGAATAAAAGCGGGGTGTCACAAGCTGGGAGACGCCGGTTTTTCCCGTGACGATCTCTTTGTCAAGTGTCGACGGTTTCTAAACAATATTTCTTTAAAAGGTAGTACAAAATGCTGTGGCCAAAGGAGGTTTAAAATTTTTTCCAGCTGCAGTAATGACTATAATTATTTTAATGTAAGATAAGAAAGACAAAGGTTAGGAAATAAAAAAAGACTAGTATGGATTCCCCGAAAAATGTGGCAAAAAGATGGTGGAGGTGGTGCATTTGCTTGAGAAGAGCAGCTTTTCCACTAAGATATTCCTATATACTAGGAGGATGGAACATCAGGAGAGTGGTGGGTTGGAATTGAGACAAAGAACTTGAGTTGAGGAAAGGCAGAAATGGAAGGAATAACTGGGGTGGCTGAGAGTGTTTTCATCTCAGGCTTTAAAAGTACTGTTACAGAGTTGTAGCTGTATCTCTCTTCAACTTATGCCTTTTTAGCCATGGGCATGTAGATTACAAATGCTGGAGGGCCGGGGGTTGGTTCGAGGTTAATTTCATCTTATTGGTCATCTTACTTGAATTAACATCTCAGATTTTCTTCAGTTTTGGTCAGCCTGTAGAGTTCAAATTCCGACTGCAAAATTGTTGGGTTTACGCTTGTATCTCCCGTAAATAATAATTACCACTACTTAAAAATGGTAGAAATGTGCATTTTTCGGCCGAACAAGACTTACTTTGAGGGCACAAAACTTTTAACAGTCTTTAATAAATGAAATGCTTATTTGGAATAGGGTGTCTTCTTTCCACACTGCAGATTTTTATTAAAAGTTTGCGAGATTTATACATATTATTGGTTTTAAAATTATATTTCAAAAGGCTAGTGTTTCAAATCCATTCAGTTGGTAACATTTGATGCGAAATTTAATTATTAAAAATTATATTTTATATCTGTCTTGGGAAGGAAACGGGTAGCTGAAGAATTACGATAAAGTGGTTAATGCTGCATTTCGGCAGAATGCTTTTAGTAACCGCACAGTTAAAATTGTAACTTTTTCGCTCTGATTGCTCTGTTCTGAGGGTACCAGTCTTGGTGTTGCTGTAGGTGGCAAACTCACATTTCTAAAAGCAAAAGTAGCAGCAGTGTTTCTAAAAACGGCTGCAGTTATTTAGAAATCTGGTACCCGTTCTGAAGCCCTATAGGTCAGTTTTTTGCTTTTACGTTAAATGATCCTCTGCATCGCGACCTGGTACTAAATCCTTTCCTCTCTCGTAATCAACAGTCTATATCTCTTTTAACTTTTACGGAGTGCCAACAACTTAACAGTAACTTCAAGGATGGTCAAAATTTAAAGACTGTTCAACCATCGTTCGAAACCTTCAACGTTCACCTGGGGGTTTTAAATTTTTTACCGGCTTTGTTAAAAACCATTTTCTGTAGTCAAAGCCTGTTGATCTATTGTCTAATATTCTTGAAGGTACACAAGGTCCCCTTAGGAGAATACTGCTTTCGAAATTGTTGCAGACTGAAAATAAGCACGTGAAATGCCCTAAGCACAAATAGTCAGACGATCTCTGCTACAGACGAAATAGGCGACTAGGCACATGTAACAGCGTACCAAAATTTTACTTCATTTCTCAAAGTTGGCTGCTGATCATTATCGAGCAGCAGAACTTCTGAAAAGTAGTGTACGACTTGCTCGCTACGTATTACTTTTCCTTGAAAGAAACCCTAAAAAGTTTTTCAGTTTGAGAATCGCTCGCCTGTATGGAAGGCCGTGTTTGAAGTCGCATGGCATACGGTGAGATTCTTGACCTGAATTATTGTATTGGGCTTCACTTTGATTTAGGTGTTAAAGGTTATAACGAAGAAGTTCAATTTAGTTGATGGAGTTATTCTTTTTGGCTTATCCCTTTACTTTTGATAATTGATTTATGCCACAGTAAAATGTTCACTTTCGGAAGCGTTTCTTCTTTTAATTTAAAGTTAGGTTCGCGCAAAAAATTCATTTTTTAGGTTTGAATCAGATCGATGGATCAGTCTGCAGTTGGGCGGCAAATTCCGTCGTACTATAACAGTTATACCTTGAAGATTACTGAATTGTATCAAATTGACCAGTGTCATACAAAGAGGATTAGTGGTTGACGCAACTGCATTGCTCTCATGTGGTACGTTCCTTCTGCTGCTTTTTGTCTTACTTTTTGTTCGCTGTTTTTTTTTTTTTTTTTTTTTTAA